CATGAATCATCAAAACCCGGACCAAAACTTGAACTTATCATCTTTGACTAATGGCCTGAGCTACTGCAGCCGAGCCAAACTGAATGTAAAGGTAGAAAAGTAGCCATTAGTGACCGGCAGAGTCATTAGTGAAGCAGCAGTGTTCATTTGCAGACAAGGGTTGGCTCTATTCCCCCGAGTGTCCCCTGACCTCTGTGTGCCGCTTAAGAGGGGCCCCCAGAGAGAGGCTCCTGACAGCAGCGCTCACTCAGGCCCCGCTCTGGGACCTTCGTAGGCACAAAGTCAGATTCAGAGGCACAGGGCGGAGGGGATTGACCGAGGACGAGGTGAGGAATCGGTGAAAACATTTTACTGTGATCTCTCATTTATCTCTGGGGTTACGTTCTAAAAATAACAGGCCATAAGTGAAATCCTTGAAGTAGCAGTTGTTGGTCTGAGTGCTGCTGCAGCTGTCAGAAGCAGTGCGAACATTGTAAAATACAGCTGCAGAGGACACAGAGGGACAGGACTGAGGAAGACCGCGGTGGTTCTCTGCAGCACACAAGTTTTCTTCTTACTTTAAATAGAGGTAAATGTCACCTCTGGTCTCTCTCTGGTCTCTCTCTGGTCTCTCTCTGGTCTCTCTCTGGTCTCTCTCTGGTCTCTCTCTCTGGTCTTTCTGGTCTCTCTATCTGCTCCCTCTCTCTGGTCTTTCTCTTGGTTTCTCTTGTCTCTCTTTGGTTTTTCTCTTTGTTTTCTCTCTTATCTCTATCTGGTTTCTCTGCTTCCTCTCTCTGCTGCTCTCTCTCTCTCTGCTCCCTCTCTCTGGTCTCTCTCTCTGGTCTCTCTCTACTCCCTCTCTCTGGTCTCTCTCTCTGCTCCCACTTTCTGGCCTCTCTGTCTCTGGTCTCTCTCTGGTCCCTCTCTCTGGTCTCTCTCTCTGGTCTCTCTCTCTTCTCCCTCTATCTGGTCTCTCTCTTTGCTCCCTCTCTCTGGTCTCTCTCTCTGCTCCCACTTTCTGGCCTCTCTCTCTCTGGTCTCTCTCTGCTCCCTCTCTCTGGTCTCTCTCTCTGGTCTCTCTCTCTTCTCCCTCTATCTGGTCTCTCTCTCTGCTCACTCCTCTCTCTGGTCTCTCTCTCTGCTCCCACTTTCTGGCATCTCTCTCTGGTTTCTCTCTGCTCCCTCTCTCTGGCCTCTCTCTCTGGTCTCTCTCTGCTCCCTCTATCTGGTCTCTCTCTCTTCTCCCTCTATCTGGTCTCTCTCTGCTCCCTCTCTCTGGTCTCTCTCTCTGCTCCCACTTTCTGGCCTCTCCCTCTCTCTGGTCTCTCTCTCTGGTCTCTCTCTCTTCTCCCTCTCTCTGGTCTCTCTCTCTGCTCCCACTTTCTGGCCTCTCTCTCTGGTCTCTCTCTGCTCCCACTTTCTGGCCTCTCTCTCTCTTCTCCCTCTATCTGGTCTCTCTCTTCTCCCTCTATCTGGTCTCTCGCTGCTCCCACTTTCTGGCCTCTCTCTCTCTGCTCTCTCGCTCTGGTCACTCTCTCTGGTCTCTCCCTCTGCTCCTTCTCTTCATAACACATAGTTCTTCTGACTCTAAACGTCATACTAGCGGTTTACATGACGTTGTGTATTATGTTTTTGGAACAAGAGAGGCCCGTTGTAGCACCCACCAGCTGTGAGGGACACAATGAACCACTTTCTCACCTCGACTGCAGCTCCGCGTGAGAGAAAACGGGTGAGAAAATGGACTTGAAAGTGTCTCAAGACCATAAAAGATCTTTTCATTTGTCACACAGTGCGGTCGCGCCAGGTCGATGGAGCTCTCCCACGGTGTCGGAGAGAGTAAATATTACGCGTTTCCTAAAACTCGTATGAAGAACTGAGTGGCTTGAAATGTTACTCTGGAAATGAGGTCGTGATGAATGAATGTGATGCGGAGCGTGAACTGAGACATGGCAGAGGTTTGGTGCTTTTGACGGAGTTGGGACCAGACCAGACCTGAGACAAGAGTGGTCTGGACCTGCACATATACTGAGACAAGAGAGATCTCAAGAGAGATTTTGAGACGACAGTAGCTCAGTTGGTAGAGCGTTGGCCTTTTGAGCTAGAAGGTCGTGGGTTCGAGCCCACCTCAAGACTTTCACCATCGACTCCCACTGTCTGCTGCCGTTGTGTCCTTGGCAAGACACTTTACCCACATTGCCTAGAATAAGTCTAATGTGTGTGTGAATGGTTGGTGGTGGTCGGAGGGGCAGATGGCACATACTGGTTGCCTCGCTTCTGTCAGTGTGCCCCAGGGCAGCTGTGGCTACAGTAGTAGTTTATCACCACCGTGTATGGAGTGAATGAATAATGACACATGTGAAGCAACTTTGAGTGTCCAGAAAAGCGCTGTATAAAACCAATGCATTATTATTATTATTATTAGATCTGGGTCTGCATGAATGCTGAGACGAGAGGTTTGCATGTAATCTAAGACAAGAGTGGTCTGAACCTGCATGTACACTGAGAAAAAGAGAGGTCTAAGTCTGCATGTACACTGAGAAAAAGAGAGGTCTGAACCTGCATGTACACTGAGAAAAAGAGAGGTCTAAGTCTGCATGTACACTGAAACACATATACTGAAACAAAAAAAGGTCTAGACCAGCATGTATAACAAAAAAATGTTAGAAGATGGACTGGTTGGATATGATAAAAGCAACACTGAAGCGGCAGAGAGAGGTGGGAAAACAGCCGTGGGTTGGATCTTCATTGGGGGTAAACGTGTTGCCCCGGGACACTGCGGCTGAGAGTTTGAAGCTCCGAGGGCGACTGATTTGGCGAAAAGAACAAAGACAGAGAGCGAGCCCAGGCCTGTGACTGTTGCGTCGCCAGCTGTGGTGCTGGGCGGCTCTGGGCGGCTCTGGACGGCTCTGGGCGGCTCTGGGCAGAATAAAAAGAGTGTTTTTCTTATTTATATTTTGTGAAGACAGACAGACAGACAGACAGACAGACAGACAGACAGACAGACAGACAGACAGACAGACAGACAGACGAATTTACTTTTACATGTAAGTCAATAGGAGTGAGTTGGAGCAAAACTTCGTCCATGAGCACTTTCCAATTGGCTTGCATTGAGCTCGCTGGTTAGCATTGTCCATCTGTATACAGTCTATGGGGGGAATGTTTAAAAGATAGAAGAAGACATTGCAGGCGGGGAGGGGTCAAACTCATTTTGGTCGTGGGCCAAATGTGAAAACAAAAAATCTGGTTGGGGCCAGAAGTATAAAAGTGGTCAAATCATAAAAAATAAAAAAAAAGTTACATAATTTTAGCAGTTTAAATGTATTCGCGTTTAGATATTATTTTTCTATTTTTTTCTATTAGGTTTGGTTCGGTTCGACCACAGCTGGGCCGAATATCGAGAAGACATCTCCTGGAAAACTGTTTCAATTAAATAAAATATAAAACTATAAAAGCTTCGACCTTTTCAGTAATTGTATAGTTATTGCCATTACATAGAACAGCATGCTATAGTAGCTCATTATCAACGCCGGAAGTTACTACGACAATGCAAAGTCATGTCAGGGGCCACAAAAATCAATCTTGTGGGCCGGATTTAACCCACGGGCCAGGGTTTGACATGCCTGCCATAGCAACAAACGGGTCACAAAGCCTCCATTGTAAACAACCTCAAGCCGCATGGTCTTCTGTCATCACACAACATTTTAATTCATGCTCCAAACATTCTCGCTCTTGGCCGCGGTCGTGTGTGCGTCTCTCTTTGATTTGAAATGCTGCGGGGCCAGTTTTCAGTTTGATGTCCTGTGCAGCTGCTGCCGTTAAAGGACATGCACGGCTTCAAACGCACAGTGTTAGTGATTCTCCTGCTCACAAATATTTTATACATGACCCCGCACGGAACATTGTGCGAGAGTGTGATCTGACGCGTGTGTACAGTGCCGCTGATGCTACGTACACTGTGTGCGTTTGGATACGGTAGAGCAAGAGAAACACAATCTCATAGTTAATCTGCTCCCACGGTCGGTTCACTTTACATCACGACTTCTAAACGATAAGAGTGTCTGATATGACTGGGGTGGACTGACCGAGTGTGATATCACCATAACGTTAGCTAAGGTGCAGAAGAGGCAGATTTGAACACAAGCTAGCTGATGCTAATTGCCTCATATGGGCCTTTGTTTTGACGTGGCAAGGGCAGACGTGTTGCAAAGACGGTGGCTGAGGCATCTGATTGGTCAATTCAATATCAAAATAAAAACACCGGGATCATAGAAATAGCTAAAAACAAAGATTTTTTTAAAGCTCAAAGTGATGAAAACTGTTACTTTGCGAGATAAGTTTACTTTACATTGTAGGAGCCAGAGTGAGTTAGAGAAAACTTCATCCGTGAGTACTTCTCTTTTGGGTTTCATTGAGCTACCGAGTTAGCAATCTGGGAAAGCTTTGGACATTAATTCTGTGGAGGCCGCAAATCTAGTGAAGTCCTATTTGGTCCTATATGTGAAGTGGTTTACATTTCCAATAACCAATATTTATTTTGGATTTAACGGTTCGCTGCAATACTTCCAAGTTACTGAGATAAGAGACGTGTACTTTTCAATGTACCTCAATATGAGCCAGAGCGAGTTGGAGAACAATTTTGAGCACTCCCCTTGGGCTACGTTGAGCTAGCAGGTTAGCATTGTCCATCTGTATACATGGTACGAATAATGCAATGTACTGTGTAAGGGATCCACTCTCGCCATCTGTTCTCATCCCTCTCTCCCCACAACACGTCGTCCATCTCTCTCTATGTGACTAGACTCCTGTCCGTTTGTGTTCAATTCAATCCATTTTATTTTTGTAAAGCCCTAAATCATAGTGATCTCGGCGGACTTTCCAAAGCTGACATTTGCCAACACAGATCAGAATCACACAGTTCCACAGAGCCATCGGTCCATAAGGGGAAAATAATGTTGATAAAGTCCTAGACCGTCACCACTGTCCTATAGCTCGACCTCTCACTCACCTCCCAGTAACGCTGAATGTGTGATGGGGGGGGGTGTATCGACCCGGGCTTTCGGGGGGGACCCATGGGAGACTGCGACGCTGTCCTGTCACATCATGTTTGAGCAGAGCAAGGACAGGTGACGATCAGGCTTCCCCCGCACAGAGAGAGGTCACACTCACCTCCCGACGGACACGCCCTCTCCCCATCGGTTGGACTGTACATGTATGTATTAGTTCAGAAAATCATACAGGCTTTGGGACTAGCTATCATACAGTATATATATATATAGACTTACTTCATACGCAAAATGTCTCTTCGTTTGGGCTGGCGGGAAAAATATATTGGGTTAAAGAAGGAAATCTCACAATAACGATATGATTCTAAAAAATAACTACAATGCATTGGTTTTATAAAGCAAGTTGTATAGACAGTTGTGTCGCCACAGCTGCCCTGGGACACACTGACAAGGTCCAACCACCACCAAATCATTTACACACAAACCAGACCCGGTTTTGGAAATCTGTAGTTAATCTTTATTGAAGGGACAGTGTGCAGAGAGACAGATATGTTCTGCACCAGATTATAGATATCTAGTTTCCATCTACAGTCCCGAGTGGGTGAAGTGTCTTGCCTCAGGACAAAACCACAGTTTGGCACAATGGCAGCAGGTGGTCCCAGAGGTCTCCCATCACGGTGGGATGACCATAAATGTGCAGAAAAACGCCCAGATCATCAGAGTTCTTAGAGCCTCCTGTGCTGGCAAGGAACAATTCAAAAACCCGGTGGGAAAAATGTGAGAAACCTCGGGAGGCTCATAACGAGAGAGGGATCCGCTCCCACGGTCGGACAGGCTGTAGATCCAGGACTGAGGCTGTAGATCCAGGACTGAGGCTGTAGATCCAGGACTGAGGCTGTAGATCCAGGACTGAGGCTGTTGATCCAGGACTGAGGCTGTAGATCCAGGACTGAGGCTGTAGATCCAGGACTGAGGCTGTAGATCCAGCAAACAAGTCTAAATCCATTAACTTAAGCTACTAGCGTCCCATCTCTTTCTGTCAGCTTAGACCTACTGCTAAAATCCTCTAAATAACAACAACACAAACAGTTCTAAGCTTGTGCACGGATACAGAACACTCACTTTGATCACAGCAGGGGTCAGCCATCAAGTTAAAAACAAAATAACTGTTAAAAAAAGAAACCTGAAAACAGCACAAGCCCCAGGCTCTTTCAGCTGTTACGGCAGCTGGGACAACAGGAGGTCCCACTCTGAGCAAAGACACAACCACGCCCCCTGTTGGTGACTTTTAAAGGACAAAGGACAGAACCTCCCTGGTCCTTTTCACAGAGCTCTAATGTGGCTGCGGTTAGAATTCAAGTCACTAAAAATGACAATGTTTTTATGTTTCCATGTTTTTATTTGTTGGCTAGTCCCAGTTCTGTATCTGTACTGCATCATTAACAGCAGCTCAAGATTCAAGAATTGATTTGCCATTTGCAGTAAAACCACCTTGGAAAAACTGTGCAAGACTACCCCAGTGTGCACCAGACCCATGCATCTTATATAACATCAGTAGTATTTGAAATGGTATGTTGAAATAGAAATATTATTGATATTAGGAGTGATGTGATGTCACCAGAGTGTTAGCTAGTGTTAGCTTCGATGATAATCAGGAGCTAATTTCTTTGTGTTGGGATTTTCTAGACTAGACTTAAACCTGGAGTCTGTGGGTGTGTGTCCATGTGTGTGTTTCCCTCTCTCTCTATTGATCCCATTTATGCGTGTGTGTATGTGTGTGTGAGTCTGTGTGCTTGTGTGTGTGTGAGAGTGTGTTGTGTTTTCAATCATGAATGCAATTACAAAACTAGTCATAAACCTGGTGTGTGTGTGTGTCCTTCCCTCTCTATTGATCCCTTTCATTGTTCGTGTGTGTGTGTATGTGTGTGTCTGTTTGTGTGTGTGTGTCTGTCTGTGTGCTTCTGTGTTTAAACATTAAATTACAAAACTAGTCATAAACCTAGTGTGTTTGTGTTTCTCTCTCTCTCTATTGATCCCATTCATAGTTCATGTGTGTGTATGTGTGTGTCTGTCTGTTTATGTGTGTGTGTGTGAGTGAGTGTGTGTCTGTGCGCTTGTGTGTTTCACTTTTAATTATGAATGCAATTACAAACTAGTCTTAAATCTGGTGTGTGCATTCCCCTCTCTCTAGACAGTGTGTGGGTGTTTTGTGCGTTTCCCTCTCTCTCTATTGATCCCATTCATAGTCCATGTGCGTGTGTGTCCGTTGCCGTTGTGCGTTTAGTCGTGTCGAACCCAGATTCACGTCCACATTTCTTCCATTATGCCCAAAGCCCCAAAGAAAGCAGCAGATGAAGCGGTGAAGATACAGGCCACGTTTCCCCAGATTGATCTGCTTTTACATATTTCATAATTCGTCTTTTGCTTTAATTGCGTTGTTGGTCTCTACCCAGACTTCTGGAAGTGTCTCTGGTCCTCGGAGTATTTGTGTTTGCATAAAGAGGCTAAAATTAAAATCCTGTGCCTCCTTCCGACAGTATCACCTCTGGCCGTGGAGCACAGCCAGGCTATTAACTCTTCCAGGATATACATACAGGAGATTGTGTGTGTGTGCGTGAGTGTGTACATGTGTGCGTGAGTGTGTTGGTGTGTGCGTGTGTGAGTAGGCATGTGTTTGTGTGTGTGTCAGTGTACATGTGTGTGCTTGTAATGTCTGCGCATGTGTGTGAGTGTGTGAACTTGTATGTGTCTGCATGTTGGTGTGTGTGTAGATGTCTTTGTGTGTATGGGTGGGTTTGTGCATGTGTGTGTGCGTGAGTGTGTTAGTATGTACGTACATGTCTTTGTGTGTATGTGCAGGTTTGTATGTGTGTATGTGTGTGTGTGAATGTGAGAGTGTGTAGGCATGTGTACATGTGTGTGCTTGTAATGTGTGTGTGAGTCTATGAACATGCATGTGTCTGCATGTCTTTGTGTGTACGTGCGTGTTTGTGCACGTGTGGGCATGCGTTTGTGTGTGAGTGTGTGTGCTTGTGCGTCTGTGTACATTTGTGCATGCATTTCTATGTGTATGTGCACGTTTGTGTGTACATGTGTGTGTTTGTGAGTGTGTGTACGTGTCTGCGTGTGTATAAGCGCGTTTGTGTGTATGTGCGTGTGCCTGTGTGTGTACGTGTCTGCGTGTTGTGTGTGCTTGTGCGTGTCTTCATGTGCTCTGTGTGTGACATAGAAAAACAAGGAGCTTCAAATGAATTAAACTGTTTGAGTTTGTAACCATGACGACAGGAAGTCTATTGCCACAAAACCAGTCTCTGTCATTGTTCTCATTTGTTGAATAAATGTCACGTTAAAAACCACATCCTCTTTATGGTTCAAAATGAGTAAATAACAGTTACGGCTGGATCGCCTCTCCACAGATCTGACGTGTAAATTATGATTAAATTACAAGTAAAAACATTAGAGAGAGAGATAGATATATAGATAGATAGACTGAGACATTCAGGGGTCCAGCAGCAATCCAATCCAATCCAATCCAATCCAATCCAATCCAATTCAATTATAGCATAGCCCTTGATAACAGCAGGTATCTCCAAGGACCTAGTTGTTAATTTGCCAACACAGATCAGAGAATCAGCCACAACATGCACTGATAACAAAAACATACAGGCCATGTGCCAGTTCATGAAAGAGGTCTAGAATTTGACTTTCGTTCCAGGATTATGGGAAATACTTTCTTTTTGCAGAAGTTATCCGTGAAAATATTTAAATGTGTTGATTTTATCTCTGTGCAGCACTTTGGAAACTCGTTAATGAAAAAAAATGTTGTCAAAGTTGTGGTTTTGATCAAAATTTGGACATTTTAGCCTGATGCACCATGTTTGGAGGTTTCTAATTGCAGAACTACCTATTTAATCAAAAAACAAATTACTTGGCCTTAGAGATCACACCAAAAATTATGTATTCCTGGAATATCACTGTTATTGAAGAAATATTTGAATATCCAAAATTATCATGAAAAATTATGACATTCAAATTTGGGCGCTATACTGGAAAAACTACCATTAACTGATTTTAATTATTGTTGACTTTCCTTCAAATACCTCAAAGATGATGAATTGAAATGAATAATACGTACTGAAAAATGTCATTTCTAGATCTAAATATTGCAAAGTAACATAGTTGACTATTTACACAACAAAGGGACATATGTACAGGATGCCATTGGTCCATAAGAGGCAAATATCACTGTCAACAGACACACAATCATTCATACATACTTACTCAATTATTCTGTAAAAAGTGTTTAGTTCAGACAGATCGGTCTTAAAGCTGCACTAACTGACTTTATTTTTGTATTCATTACGAAAATGCTATCCATGTCCATGTAGTGCATTGGGATATACATCATTTTGAAGAAAAAGTAGTGCAGATTTGTGCTGGCGTGACATTATATTTTAGATCGAGTTTTGATGAAACGAGGAAGAGAATGGGTAACACTTTACATTACGGGCCGGTAAGTCCATGGTACTTACAGTGGTACTTCTAGGTACTTACAGTGGTACTTCTAGGTACTTACAGTGGTACTTACGGTGGTACTTACGGTGGTACTTACGGTGGTACTTACGGTGGTACTTACAGGGGTACTTACGGTGGTACTTACGGTGGTACTTACGGTGGTACTTACAGTGGTACTTACAGTGGTACTTACAGTGGTACTTCTAGGTACTTACAGTGGTACTTCTAGGTACTTACAGTGGTACTTACGGTGGTACTTACGGTGGTACTTACGGTGGTACTTACGGTGGTACTTACGGTGGTACTTACGGTGGTACTTACGGTGGTACTTACGGTGGTACTTACGGTGGTACTTACGGTGGTACTTACAGGGGTACTTACGGTGGTACTTACGGTGGTACTTACGGTGGTACTTACAGTGGTACTTACAGTGGTACTTACAGTGGTACTTACAGTGGTACTTCTAGGTACTTCTAGGTACTTACAGTGGTACTTCTAGTGGTACTTCTAGGTACTTATTGTGGTACTTACAGTGGTACTTCTAGGTACTTACAGTGGTACTTAGAGGTACTTATTGTGGTACTTACAGTGGTACTTCTAGGTACTTATTGTGATAATTCTAGATACAGCTGTAACTTAGTAATTCAAGGACACTACAGTATTATTCCTATGTAGTAAATGTGGTACTTCTACATACATACATACAGAGGTCATTTGTAGGATTGTTTGACTATAAAACATAAAACAACATTATGTAAAACAAACGTCTTTATTAATATGGAATAAGTAGCACAGAAAGGACAGTATAAATACATGTAATGCATATTTCAAAACAAGTTTCAAGGACAAGGGAAACACTGCAAGAACTAGGTACCCAACCCAAGTAACAAGAATTACACATTACCAGGTACTTACCAGCCAAGTACCAGGTACTTACCAGCAAGTACCAGGTACTTACCAGCAAGTACCAGGTACTTAACAGCAAGTACCAGGTACTTAACAGCAAGTACCAGGTACTTACCATAGGGACTGGCCCATTATAAGACAAAGGACTTTAACATAAGTACCAGTGATAACACCAGTAATTATACAGTAAGTACCAGGTACTTACCATAGGGACTGGCCCATAATAAGACAAAGGACTTTAACATAAGTACCAGTGATAACACCAGTAATTATATAGTAAGTACCAGGTACTTACCATAGGAACTGGCCCATAATAAGACAAAGGACTTTAACATAAGTACCAGTGATAACACCAGTAATTATATAGTAAGTACCAGGTACTTACCATAGGAACTGGCCCATAATAAGACAAAGGACTTACCCATAAGTACTAGTGATACCAGTAATTATATAGTATACCATGTACTTACCAGCAAGTACCTGGTACTTGCTGTTAAGTACCTGGTACTTGCTGGTAAGTACCTGGTACTTGCTGGTAAGTACCTGGTACTAGCTGGTAAGTACCTGGTACTTGCTGGTAAGTACCTGGTACTTGCTGGTAAGTACCTGGTACTTGCTGGTAAGTACCTGGTACTAGCTGGTAAGTACCTGGTACTTGCTGTTAAGTACCTGGTACTTGCTGTTAAGTACCTGGTACTTGCTGGTAAGTACCTGGTACTTGCTGGTAAGTACCTGGTACTTGGCTGGTAAGTACCTGGTAATGTGTAATTCTTGTTACTTGGGTTGGGTACCTAGTTCTTGCAGTGTTTCCCTTGTCCTTGAAACTTGTTTTGAAATATGCATTAAATGTATTTATACTGTCCTTTCTGTGCTACTTATTCCATATTAATAAAGACGTTTGTTTTACATAATGTTGTTTTATGTTTTATAGTCAAACAATCCTACAAATGACCTCTGTATGTATGTATGTAGAAGTACCACATTTACTACATAGGAATAATACTGTAGTGTCCTTGAATTACTAAGTTACAGCTGTATCTAGAATTATCACAATAAGTACCTAGAAGTACCACTGTAAGTACCACAATAAGTACCTCTAAGTACCACTGTAAGTACCTAGAAGTACCACTGTAAGTACCACAATAAGTACCTAGAAGTACCACTAGAAGTACCACTGTAAGTACCTAGAAGTACCTAGAAGTACCACTGTAAGTACCACTGTAAGTACCACCGTAAGTACCACCGTAAGTACCACCGTAAGTACCACCGTAAGTACCACCGTAAGTACCACCGTAAGTACCACCGTAAGTACCACCGTAAGTACCACCGTAAGTACCACCGTAAGTACCACCGTAAGTACCACCGTAAGTACCACCGTAAGTACCCCTGTAAGTACCACCGTAAGTACCACCGTAAGTACCACCGTAAGTACCACCGTAAGTACCACCGTAAGTACCACCGTAAGTACCACTGTAAGTACCACTGTAAGTACCACCGTAAGTACCACCGTAAGTACCACCGTAAGTACCACTGTAAGTACCTAGAAGTACCACTGTAAGTACCTAGAAGTACCACTGTAAGTACCACTGTAAGTACCACTGTAAGTACCACCGTAAGTACCACCGTAAGTACCACCGTAAGTACCCCTGTAAGTACCACCGTAAGTACCACCGTAAGTACCACCGTAAGTACCACCGTAAGTACCACCGTAAGTACCACTGTAAGTACCTAGAAGTACCACTGTAAGTACCTAGAAGTACCACTGTAAGTACCATGGACTTACCGGCCCGTAATGTAAAGTGTTACCAGAGAATGTGTTTCGGGTCGCGGATTGTGACCAATCGCAGCGCACCACTAGCCCCCACTTTTGTGAGAAATCTACAGGTCCCTGTTAGCAAAGACAGCTGAGTTAGCACAACAAGCGGCGGAGCTAACCTGAAGCTTTGTGTCTTCGTCATCGGTTACTGCTTACACAGCGAGACAGCCATCCAAAAGAAAGTCCCGTTCCTCCGCGCTTCCCGGTTCTATCGTTCTATGGTCACGCCATCCACGTGCAAATCCATATTCGTGTATTATCCATATTGGGAGACGCTAACTCCGTCCCAACAGTGGGTGTGTGTGGGGGGCGATAGCTTCGTGGGTGCGGGGAGGGGAGCAGAACGAGCGAGGCCAGCGAGTCCACGGCTTCAAAATCCCAAAGTCAGTTAGTGCAGCTTTAAAGGAGCAGTGTGTACAAATCTGGCCAAAAGTGGTACTGCACTCTCCCTGACTCAGGTTGCCAGATATGCAGACAAATCCAGCCGGGACCATAATATCTGAATATTCAAGAGTTTTATCAACAACAAATCTATAACCAACACCTTTTTCCACAAAGGCCTCGATAGAAATCCTGGTTTTATTCTTTGTTTTGTCGTTGAGGATTTGAGAATCATAACGAAAGTTTTTTAGTGCTGCGGCCACATGTTACTTTGATAGTGAGATTAGCTCAACGCAGTGAGTTCTGGCCACCCGGATCACTGACTTTCTGATTGGTGAAACGGAGGAGGGCGGGACATCGAAATTAAAACAATAACAAGATTTATTGGCTGTAAAACTACTATTGAAATCAGTTAAATATGTATTGGAAAAGAGCATGTTTTATGAATTAGGGCCATAAAAATCTTACATATTGCTACTTTAAAGTTGAAGAATTTTTGAGGTTTTTATTTAAACAAAAAACAGAACAAAATCAAATCTATTTCACACAATCGTCAAATTTCTCACAGCTTCATACATCTTTTTCCAACGCCCTGTTTATGATAGACACAGATAAACACAAGGACACACATATACACTGCACTCACCTCTCCTCCCTCTCTCTCCTCCAGTCGCTCGCCCCTCTCATCTCTCCCTCCTCCCTCCCTCTCTCTCTCTCTCTCACACTCTCAGTCGCTGCTCTCTTTGACAGATGGGGGAGCGCAGGACCGAGGAGCGCCTCTTTCTGTTCCACTTTCTGCTTCTGCCGTGAGCCGCAGTTCAGACCCGGGTTTTCTTGGGGAACAAGTGGATTTTTTGGGGGTTTTCTGTCACCTACAAGACAACAAAAGCAGACCGAACGACGTGGGAGCAACAGGGTGGAGGAGAGAGAAAGAGAGAGATTTGCCTGCCACATTCAAGACCAGGAAGTAAGCCCTCATCATTATTATGTTATGATTACTATGTGTATCTTTGCCACGCTTTACTGGTGTCTTCTCCACTGGTGTCTTGTTCCCAGGCTCTAATAAGTTGTTAAAGTTCAAGCCTGCAGCAGCTTTTGATCTGGTTTTTAAAATGGATTTGAGAATAGAACTTCAACCAGCAGTTTTTTTGTATACATACATTCTGTGCGGCAGGTGAGGGGTTTGTGTTTTGGGAATAAGACATAGAATGTATAGGGACAACTGTGAAATTCCCATTGACAATAATTGCTTTAGTTACAGCTGAAGTTGTATTATAGACTGATTATTTTAGTGTGTGTGTGTGTGTGTGTTAAAGTGCAAGCAGTCTATCTCTTTTGATCCTAATTAAAAATGGACTTTTACAACCATTTATCATCATTTATGGACATCAGTCTCTGCCCTCATGGACCAATGGCTCTATGTGTGTTTTTTATCGTTGCATTTCTTGTGTTTGATTCTCTGATGTGTGACGGCAAATCAGCGGTTTTGTTAAGACCTCTGAGATCACTGCTGTTGTGATTAAGGGCTATACAAGAATACATTTAATTCAATTGAAAACGCCTGCATTTATGATATGGACCTGGCTTTTTTATTTGATTTGTATTCAATTTAACCAGAAAAGTCCCACTGAGAATTCAGAATCTCTTTTTCTGGGTAGTTCTGGCCCCATAGAGAGAGAGAGAGAGAGAGAACGAGAGAGAGAGAGAGAGACCACAGGGAGAGAGAGAGAGAGAGAGACCAGAGGGGGAGAGAGAGAGAGAGAGACCAGAGGGGGAGAGAGAGAGAGTGAGAGAGAGAGACCACAGGGAGAGACAGACCAGAGGGAGAGAGAGACCACAGGGAGGGAGAGACCAGAGGGAGAGAGTGAGGGAGGGAGAGACAGAAAGAGAGACCAGAGGGAGAGAGAAAGACCACAGGGAGAGAGAGATCAGAGGGAGAGAGAGAAGGAGGGAGAGAGAGACCAGAGCGAGGGAGAGAGAGACAGCTACCAGAGAGGGAGAGGGAGAGAGAGAGAGAGAGAGAGAGAAGGAGGGAAGGAAGGAGAGAGAGAGAGAAGGAGGAAGAGAGAGAGAGACCAGAGAGAGAGAGAGCTATTTTACATGTTTTTAGTAGAATCTAAACCTACACAGACACAGAGAGAACATGCAAACTCCACTCAGAAAGGCCATGTCCGGAGGAGGTGGAATCAATCCCAGAGCCTTATGGCTGAGAAGCGAGGGATGCTAACCACTCAGCCGCCGTGCTGCCCATTTTCCAATCACAAATATTTTCTTTAGTTTCGGCTCAAGCCTTTTAAGTTATTTATTTATTCATTTTTATTCAACCTTGATTTAACCCGAATAATCCCATTGAGATTCAAATATCTCTTTCCACGGTTCCAAGGGCGTCCTGGACAACAGGCATTCACAACACAACCGCCAAAATATTTATATAAAACATCAATAAATTCAATGATATAAAAACTAATAATAATAATAATAATAACAAAAATAATAATATCAATCGTGAGACTATTTTTCAATTTTATTTATTTTATGTTTTTATTATGATTTTTTAATTTTTTTATTTATGTTATGTTTATTGATATATATAGTAATATATATATATTTTTTTACTTTATTTTAATTGGTTTTTCTTTAAAGCTGACAGACTTTGTTACTTTTATCTGTGCAGCACTTTGGAAAATGTGTTTCATCAACTGTGCTTTATAAATAAAGTGGATTAGATTGGATAAAGCCTGGTTCACACGGCAGGATATTTAGGCCGATTTAGACCCGATTTACCCCTTACGACAATCTTAAGAAACGCTCCGATTTCCGTAACAAAATCTTACAGATTATCCTGCCGTGTGTGGTGTGTTAAGACTGCACTCGTCGCTCGGAAGGACATCGGGACTGCTCCCGATCTCAAATCGGGGATATCCAACATGTTGGATTGTTTTGGCATGGCTTTGACCATTGCCTTTTCTTTGGATTACGTCTCTTCTCTGTTAACAACAAACTGCACACTATCGCCACTGCATCCTCTTCGTCCGCCATGACTGTTTACTCTGAAGTCACGCTTGATCTCGAGAGATTTTGTGAGATTTCCGTCTGACCTGGGAATGCTCGGGGGGGGGGGGGGGGGGGGGGGGGTCGGTTCGTGTGTGATGTTTGTGGCTTGCGTGATCTTGCCGTGTGGCTACGCACCACACACTGCACGACCAAAGTGGTTAGACGCAGGATTTTTAATCTCCCCGTGTGGGGTCTAACACGGAGAAAAATCGGCCGACAATTTTAAAATCGTCTCGTGTGAACCAGGCTTTAGGACGTACCTGCCTGATTATTATCCAATATTGTGAAGCGAAGGGGTGAGGACTCTTTCTGCCGAGCGTAAAAAAAGTATTCTCTCTACTCTCACATATCAAAAAGTAAAATCACACACACATCTGCTGATCATAAACACACAATAACAACACTACTCTTTGACCTGAGTTTTAAAACAACGATATGAGTAAAAATGGTTCATACTGTATACAGCGCTGGGGGCGAGGCGGGTTAAGTGTCTTGCTCAAGGACACACAGCAGCAGTCACTAACGGGAGCTGGATTCACACCTACCAACATTTATGTTTATGTCGGGAGCAGGATTCGAACCCGCAACCTTCACCTCAGAGGACAGGTGACTGTAAATAGAGAGACAATGCTAACATAGACTGTATACAGATGGACAATGCTAACATAGACTGTATACAGATGGACAATGCTAACATAGACCGTATATAGATGGACAATGCTAACAATGCTAACATAGACTGTATACAGATGGACAATGCTAACATAGACCGTATATAGATAGAAAATGCTAACCCCGAGATCACGGAGCCCAATAGGGAAGTGCTCATGGACAAAGTTTTGCTCCAACTCGCTCTGGCTTCTATTGACTTACCTTTGAAAGTAAACTCCTCCATCTCAGTGATCGTTTATATCATACTCAAAATTTTTCGGGCTTAAAAAAAGTTCAAACCCAGGAAAAAACACATGGAGCCACTGATGCATAACGGAGCAGTTGACCGAGATCCATAAATGTCTTTGAATGTTGTAAAACCACTATGTATAGCCATTCAGTTGCCTTGTGTATGAACGGTGCTATACAATTAAACTTGCCTTGCCTGTAGTACTACTCACCTGGTGTAAAATGTATACTCGAGAACGGCTCCTATAGCTCCTGTCAGTCTCCGGGGAAACATCACTTGTGCACAGGAGGTAATTAGGCCGGGATTGGCAGCCGAGAGCAGCCTGTAACTTGGAAACCCGACGTGTAGATTTTTTGGTGGCACTGGATGGTGTTCGGAGAGAGAGAGAGAGAGAGAGAGAGA